AATCTAGTACAACATGATTTTATCAAGCATGTGGAGGTTGATAGATATTTCATAAAAGAGAAAATAAAAAGTGTGTTGATTTACAATCATATGTGCCAAAAGGACATCCACATGTAAATATTCTCATTAAAGGACTCTACAACCCTACATTCAAAAATATTGTAAGTAAAATTGGAATGGTAGATTCATATCATTCAGTTTGAAGGGGAGTGTTGAATGATCGTGGGATCCACAAGTCAAGTAATCTTGGTAGACATCATTGAGCACATGGATTAAAGGTTCTAACCATTGGATCGATCCTCTTATGACCTTTAGGTTACAATTTGTGTACATTCTCTTCCTCTTTAAGTTGCGGGCCCTTGGTGGAGATTGTTTTTTAAATAATTTTGATTTATTTTCATTGAAAGAATTTTATAGAAGTTTGTATGTAATTTCACACTTTGTGCATAATGATGTAATAAAATTTAAATGAGCTTTTCCACTACTTCTCTACATAATATGTTCCATTGAAGATGGAATAAATTTCCATCTTTATTGTTGATGCTTTGGAGCGCCTGAATTGTAAGACAAACAACTTTTTGAGATGATTCGAGCTAACGCAAGCACCACGTTGATTGTTCAAACAGATCAGACTAGCATGCTGGACCTCATTGGATGAAGCTGGTATTGATTAAGAATAAAAGCTAGGTTGACAATGATATTGAAAATATGTCCTATCTCATCATCCTTTTACCCAGAGATAAGAAAATTGGTCAGCCTTATAATTGCCTTGTAACAGATTAAAGGATGGGAAAAGTTGGAGATGGACTTTACGGAGTCTTTTTGTGATAGCTTGCTGAGCTGGGGCTTTGCTATATCATCTTTGAAACCAACAACTTTCATGCATTTTGGTCCTCATTCCATACCTCTTATTTCCCATATTCTGAAATTCTAAACTGAGCCTCTGTAAATAGCATGCTATGGCGTTTTGTCACCGTGATTGCATGGCTTCGAAGGCCCTAGAAAGGCCCGCCATAAGAATCTTTTGATTCAATTTATGAATTGTTATTGCTCTGATTGCCTAGGAATATTTATTTAGCCTTCTGGAGATTTATTTGCATTATTTTTTTTTTTTTGTCAATTACTAGTGTAATCTTTGTTCCTGTGTTTTGAACTTCCATGAAAACCTTTTGATGGTTAAACTTGTTACAGCTACGGCCAGGGCATGTTTTCAATATTGAGGCAGGTAAGCAAGCTTTGAGGAACATAAATTCACTTGCTCTGTTTTCCAACATTGAGGTGAATCCAAGACCCGATGAAAAGAATGAAGGAGGAATTATAGTTGAAATCAAGCTTAAAGAGTTGGAACAGAAATCTGCCGAAGTTAGTACAGAGTGGAATATTGTACCTGGACGGAATGGGCGACCAACATTGGTATTCTTGATGACTAACTTTTGTGTTGCATGCTCTTAAACTGAAATTTCTTTCTTCTTGTCATTCCTTACTCTTGCTCAGTTGGTGTATTAAAAGTCAATTATAGTACATTTTGTGTGTTCTCACATACATCTGAATGTTTGTAATTTTAGGCGTCTATTCAACCTGGTGGAACAGTTACCTTTGAACATAGGAACATCAAAGGGCTTAATAGATCCATAATAGGTTCTGTGACATCAAGCAATCTTCTAAACCCTCAGGTATCATATCATGTTTAATCAAATTATTGTTGTCTTCTCAAATTTTGGTTAACTTTTGATTGCAAAACTTCTTAGTTTTTTATTTCATGTGCTTGGAAAATAGAAAACACTTTAAGGTATCTTGTTCATGTTTCTGATTTCTGAGTAACGGGGTGCTGGAACTCCTCTGTTTCACTGTTTAAGCATTTTCATTTATATTATGTTTTTCTAAGTCACGCTAACTTGTCTGCCTTGCTGTTTAGTGGAATGAAGAAGTTGAGTAGTAATGTGTTTCTTCATTATGCTGGTGCTTTCATTGGATATTTGAACCATTCTGTAGATGATATGTTAACTTCACCTGTTAGGAAACTATGTTGTTATTTGCATAAGTGATTAGAAGAAATAAGTAAAATATGTGTTGGGTACACAACCTCTAAATTGTCGCATAAACTGGATTCATGCGTAGAAATATCAGTGAAGCCTGGTTTACTTAATTATAGTGATAATTTGTTGTTTTACATGGGTCTAAATTAAATAGGCAGTATCCAAGCACGCAAAATTTACTAAAAATTGATTGCTTTTATTCTTCAGAACAGAAATTATAGGAAATAATATATCAAATGGCAGCTCTTTACAAAGAGTGCACATAATCGCATGGTTGCATTAATAGAAGAAGAACACACGTTTAGTGAACCAAGTGCGAAGTTAGTGGGATTGTGCATATGAGTATTGGGAGAATTAGAAGTATATTATAAAATGGTGTGAATTTACAATTAAAGAATAAAGCTAGTTTGTGTCAGCAGAAGATATTATTCGGCTCGAAATATATGAGGTTCGCACCAAGATGTTGAATGATTGGGCTATGCTGCAGTAAAAATTTAAATATGCGCATGCTTCAGCAGTAGCTGCAATGATTTGCACGACAGAGAGATGTGAAGTGAAGCACATCGTGCACCGTGTTTCATTAAGTTTTCTTATACTGCCACCGGGACACATACATTGGAATCTTATATTCAAATAAACTTTGGAGTCCCTGATACTAAGTTTAACACTTGAACATGACCTTATTTTAGTTTTCTTTTCATATAAACATTGTTAACTCTTAATATATGATCTAATATAATAATTTAAATTTGGATCCATTAGGCATAAATGTTTTAATAGTGTAGTGTACATATCTAATGTATCAAAATAAGACGTTCCAACACAATCTCTGTTGACAAAATAATTCTATGCACCCTTAATAACAGTGCTCTAACAAGCTTATCTTGAATGGGAGTTATACACTTATACCCATATCAACATCAATAGATTCCTTGACTTTCGGATGAGCCATGTCATAAACCCTTGGTTGCACTTTTTTTTTCTTTGCTGATCCTTATTAGGAGGCAATGCACTAAACTCAGTGGCTTTCTGTTTCCCACTTCTATTAGTAGATCATTAATAAAAACTTCTCTATGGGTGTTCTTCCTTAGATTCCTTATTAGGAACCAATGCTATCAATGTTTCCCACTTATAGCTTCAATAGGCTCTTCTGCTCCTGTAAAATGTTGGGGTTGCATATCTTAGAAAAATCTCATGTATTTATCCATTGAAATGCAACTACTTCCACCAGACTGAGTTTGGGAAACTTGAACTGACTGAAATATTGTTATCACATATGAGACACTGTATCAGTAGTAACATTGATCTCATTAGATTGAGGATCAATATTTGCTCCTTGTCCCTCATAGCTTGAGATCTATCTACTTTGGATTTAGCTGTATTCCTATTTGTAGCTTCTTTCCTTGAAGTTGCAGGCCTAAGATTCACAAAAAGCCATTATTAATTAACTATTTTGTAAAGAAATAAGAGTTTAAGACACCCTAGCATAATACATGACAGTCTTCTAGACATCATATGAATTTATTAAAATCATTATCGTTCTATTAGCTCTTTTACATATATCAATATCCAATATCCTAATCTCTATTTGATATCACTCTTATCACGCCTAACAGAGAGCTTGGAGATCGAGGTGGAAATGGTTGTTTGGGTAGAATTTTGGAGCTTACTATACATTCTAAAGAATATTCGTAACAAGTTTAAAACAAACTTCTTTAGAACAAGTTTTGAATTTATAAAAGAACCATTAAACCATAAAATTTTATTAAACATGAATTTGTTCACATATTTATACTGAAATAGTACGTTTTCCATGCGATCAACTTTATAATTGTTGCGTGCTAGAATATACGCGGCAGTAGAGTTAGGAAATATTCGTCTTAGTGTTGCACGAGTATTCCGCACACAAACAGAAAAGAAAATGTAAACACCAGAGTTTTTACGTGGAAAACCCAAAAAGGGAAAAAACCATGGGGCCTCGCCCAGTTGTAAAGTTCTACTAGTGATTTTGTAGATTACAGATGGCTGATTCGTCCCACAAGTTGGGATAATCAGAATACAATTTGTTTCTTCCAGGAAGTTTACAAAGTTCTGCGAATTCCTGGCGTTTCCCGAAAATCCGGCAGAGTTCCGGCGTCTTCAGGCGGCAGGAAGAGCTCCGGCGGTGGTCGAGGAGGTGAGGAATCTCCTTTTCCCCTTTCTCCTCTTCTTCTTCTCTCTTCTGCGAATTCCTGGCGTTTCCCGAAAATCCGGCAGAGTTCCGGCGTCTTCAGGTGGCAGGAAGAGCTCCGGCGGTGGTCGAGGAGGTGAGGAATCTCCTTTTCCCCTTTCTCATCTTCTTCTTCTCTCTCTTCACTTGAGTCCCTTTGGTGTAGAATGAGGGCTCTATTTATAGTTTTTCTGGAGTGGCATAGCCCGTAAATAGGCGTGAGATCGTGGGCGAATTGGGAGTGTTTTGATTGGACGGCCGATATTGAATCCTTTGATCATGCACCGTTCGTTGGACATTTGAAGGCCTTAATGATGTCGGAATTCGGCGATCTTGGGCTCGTTGGATTCTTCTCGTCGAGCCGTTCGATTCGAGTATAAGCTCGTCAAAATCGGAGACCGTTTGGTAACTCAAATTGCGGTTTGAACCTTCCAACAGCGCTTTGAACCCTTGATTCGGACTCATTTGGGCTTGGATTGGGTTGATCTTGGTGTCGTTGGGTTCGTATTTCTGAGACGCTCAGTTTGACTATAAGTTCGTTGAAATCGGAGTTCGGGTTCTTCCAAAATTAATTTTTGAAGTTTCCAACTAGCTTTTGCTTCGAGATTCGTTCCCGATCAAGATAATTTTGCGATGTCGTATTAATAATATACATATAAAAAGATCAAAATTATGTTAAACCTCTATCAGAATTATATGTACGGAACAGCAGATGCTACTTATCTATTGTAAATAAGTTCTCTTATATTACTCATTTATTGTTCAACAACTTTTTTTAGATGTATTTACCAAATATTGAGGGCGAGTTATATAAATAGATAAATCGTAGTTTTAAATTATAGTAATTCAAAAGAAAAAAAATGTTGTCGATCATCCTGTGAACTTCTCTTCTACACTATAGTGATGGCAAGGTTGGTGGGCATGCCTAAATATTTAATACGCTTTGGATATTTCTTGATGTGAATTTCAACATTTTTCATGATCAGATGGCATATCCAAACTTACGCTAGAGAAAAATAGAAGCTCAGAGATTATTAAAGAATGATTAGTTTCTGATACCTAATTACATTCATTTCTATAGAAATGATATATTCTATATGAATTAAATGCGGGGGCCAACTAGAAAATGTCAAATAAGACTCAACAAATGGAACTGCTAATATCTAGTTCGTTTGGAGCATTTTAACTTAGTGGTCAAATTACAAGTGATTTGCTATTTTTAGTTGAGGTCTTTTTATACCTTGGATGGAAGTTAGGGATAAGAGGGATTTTATTTGCTTTTGTAGCTGCTCATTTTTTATCACCAAAATAATTAATGCCTCTGTTTTTAATTCATTGATTTCACAAACAGCTTGTACAGTACGTTTTTATAATTTCTTAACCGGTCCTTGCGCCATAGAAGTTTAATATGTTTCTATATGCAAGTAATGTGCGCATGGATGATTTCTGAATCCAAGGAATTGAGATGGCTTAAAATGATAGCAAATACTTGAGTTCGCAAGTAAGCCTAAGGGAAATATTTGAGTTCTCAAGCAAACCTATCATTAATCGGTGAAAACAGCGAGAATAATGCAAAATCTGGCGAAATCAACCCCAAAACGATGGATTGCAATAAGAGAATCAAGGCAAACAAACACGAAAACATGATACCAATGATCCTCAATTCGAGAGGAGGATCGTCTCTCCCAAATTTCTAGACAAGGTAGTCTAGAGCACAAGACGCCAAAGAACTTCAAGAGAAATTAAATCAAGCATAACCTAACCCTAAAACACCTCATGCTCTTTGATACAAGCCACACCCTCTTCTAATTTAAACTTATTTGGAATAGTGGGACCCACTATTGTGGGCGGCAAACAAAGAGGAGGCGGGACTAGCTCGTCTCTTATAAACTAAAACTGGCCCTAGACGGGGCGGTTGGGCCGGTTCAGGAAGAACCGGCCTATCATAAAACCTATGATCATCAGCACAGACAATTTGTTTATCGTTCATAATGTTGCTATAATAACCATCTATAAATTCTTTTTCACTCTATTAATAATTTTATGTTGTTGATTGTCTAGGATGATCTGTCCTTCAAGCTTGATTATGTGCATCCATATGTAGACGGTGTGACCAACCCACGCAACCGAACATTTCGTACTAGTTGCTTTAACAGCAGAAAGATGAGTCCAGTCTTCACCGGCGGGCCTGGAGTAGATGAAGTTCCACCAGTCTGGATTGACAGAGTGGGGTTCAAGGCTAATATAAGTGAGGTCAGTCTTAAAAATGCCTCTTTTTCTGTAAGTGTAATAAATTTCATATTTTATTCCTTTGGAATAACAACTTTCTTGCACTATTTAGAGCTTCACACGTCAAAGCAAATTTACCTATGGCCTGGTGATGGAGGAGATAACAACTCGTGATGAAACCAGTAGCATTTGTACTCATGGTGCTAGGCCTTTGCCTAGTGGTGGTTTGAGCATGGATGGACCTCCCACTACCCTCAGCGGCACTGGCGTCGACCGCATGGCATTTGCGCAAGCCAATATTACCCGCGACAATACAAAATATGTTAATGGCACAGTTGTTGGTGAGAGGAATGTATTTCAGGTAAATCACAGTTCTTGATTGCAAAAGAATTTTCATGTTATTGATATTTATTGTACGAATTTTTATTTTGTGCCAAGTCCGAACGTCATCCAGAGACTAACAAAAATGCGCCACTTCATCCCAAAAGTGTGCCGCGCTCGGTACCGAGCGCAGTATCAAGCGGGTACCAAACTGTTATCCCATCCGGTATCCGCACAAAATAATCTCTCTTATTCTACACTGCTCTTTCTTTTTTCTTCAGTGTTTGAATAAGTTTAATCTATTTGCCAGCATACACTAATACTTCGAGCCATTCCACATGATCTCATTCAAATAAAGAAAAAAAAAATGAAAATAGTTGCAGTTACTGTGAAAAACTTATAGGATTCTTTTTATTTTATATATATAGCAAGGCCTGCTTTCTAACACCAGGCTTTTTCATGCATTAATTATATAGCTGGATCAAGGCCTTGGCATAGGTAGCAACTTTCCATTCTTCAACCGTCACCAGCTAACTATTACTCGCTTCATTCAATTAAAACAAGTAGAAGAAGGTGCCGGAAAACCTCCACCTCCTGTTCTGGTTCTTCATGGACATTACGGCGGCTGCGTCGGCGATCTGCCAAGCTACGATGCTTTTACCCTTGGCGGGCCATACTCTGTAAGAGGGTACAACATGGGGGAACTCGGTGCCAGTAGAAACATTCTAGAGGTATTTGATCTCCACATTGAATTCAACATTTCACATTCTTGTCCGCCATTGATAACCTGCAATACAAGCTGAAAGAACTGTAAATTTCATTTGTTTTCAGCTTGCTGCTGAATTAAGGATTCCAGTGAGGAACACTCATGTGTACACATTTGTAGAGCATGGAAATGATCTGGGAAGCTCCAAGGATTTGAAAGGAAACCCAACTGAGTTCTTTCGCCGGGTCGGTTATGGCTCGTCGTATGGAGTCGGCGCGAAGCTGGGGCTGGTGAGGATGGAGTATGCAGTTGATCATAATTCAGGAACTGGAGCTGTGTTTTTTAGATTTGGTGAGAGGTTTTAGGTGGGTTGATATACACATCTAACGAGCTAGTTTTGTCTTCTGCTTGCATGAGGATAATTAGCAATTGGATTATTTTATTTGTTTTTTTTTTTTAATATGCATGAAGACCATTTTTCAGGTAAACTAAACTGATAATCTTATCTATGGAAGGCTTCATTTGAGATAGTTTTTTTATTATTTTTTAAAGCAGTTTTTTAGTATAAATATTTCTTGAAGTTTAATATTTTTTACTAAAAAATTGCTTTAAAAATAGTAAGAAAATAGTCTAAAATTACAAGTGTGAAATTTGCAGCAATAATGTGTTGAAAGAAGATTTGTAGTGTGATATCCATGGATATTATAATGATTGAATAAATTTAAATTTAATTTTAATCTTCAAATTTATTTTAAAATTAATATGATATATGATCACTCAACTAAAATTTGCATGATAATTATTTCATAATTTTGTTGATGCCTATAATGCTACATAAACCTTAAATTTAGACTAAATATCTTGACCTAACATTTTAGTGTATTTCCAAGGAACAAAGTGAGATTGATCAAATTTCAAATAAGGTTCGAATCGAATCAAGATTTGAATCGGGATTAAAAATATGTTTGAATTCAAATCAGTTCGATTCAATTTTACATATCTTAGTGTTCTTTAATTTTGTTCGTAAAAAGATAAAGATTATCTTTGATTAAGAGTAATTTTAATTGAAATGATATATTTATAAAGAAAATGAATAATTGATTATTCCTTCAAAATATAATCAAAAAAATTTCTAGATATATATATTTATAAATTTATAATTCAAAAGAGTTCTGAATTAGTGAATTCATTAAAAAAAATAGCCGTTGGTCAAAATCCCTCTGAGAAATTCTTAAATTTTTTCTAAAAATCCAATATTTATAAGAAATTAAGTTGCCCGAATTAAATTGGAAATTTTTGAATAAAAATATTAAAATTCTGAAGCGTTATCCGCTCTCTCCTCACTTGTAAACCACGCTTCGGCGCTGCTGCTTCACCCAAGATTCCACCGGCGATGTCTTCGGCTAACTCCGCCACTGCTCTCGCCGTCGCTTCTCTCCCGTGGAGGTGCCCTTCTTTCTTCTTCTCCCCTTCCCCCTTCTCTCTGCTCCAAACTCCCCTCTCCTGTCGTAAATTCCTCTGCCTCTCGCTTTCCCGCCTTGTCTCCTCTCGCTCCCATCTCATAGCTGGAGCAGCTCCGGTCACCGCTCTGTCTTCGGGGACGGAGAAGAAGCGGGTTCTCATCATAAACACCAATAGCGGCGGCCACGCGGTTATTGGCTTCTATTTCGCCCGCGAGCTTCTCGGCGCCGGTCACGATGTCACCATCCTCACCGTCGGTGATGAGGGTTCCGACAAGATGAAGAAGCCTCCTTTCACAAGATTTTCGGTTGAATTCCATTACTTGACATCTGTTCTGTTACAACAGAATTCTCCTTTCTTTGCCGGTTCTTATTCACGGGCTTGATTGGTTGGTTTTGCAGGAGTTGGTGAGTGCCGGCGGCCGGACGGTTTGGGGAAGCCCTGCGGATGTGGGGAAGGTTGTGGGCTCGGCCGCATTCGATGTGGTGTTGGATAATAATGGCAAGGATTTGGACGCGGTGAAGTAAATTGTTGCTTTGTTATCATCAGAAAATTTTCTTAATTTTTAGTGCACTTCATGTGGTGAACTTATTAGTTCTCTATGTGTATATGTGATGCTATAGCCTTTAGGGCAACTCCATCTTGCTTTGCTCCAACCGACCGTCATTTTTCACGCCATTTGATCGCGGATGAACATTGGTGTCGCACTGTTCATCTCCGCCATTTTGTTGGTCTCTACCGAACTTGCGGAAGAAAGACAACGACAGTTGCAGGGCAAAATGGCGTTCGAAGATGAATCACGGCATTTTTCGGTTCCACCGCATTTTGGAGTGAAAAATGATATTTTCGGTTGGAGATGCCCTTATGATTGTGAATCCTCATCTATACAAAATACTTTGGGGTTGTTTGGTAGCAGGATATAAAATCAAATCTCATTGAAGATGAAAGCCGCCGGAAAATTCTGCCTTTTCGTGCTAAATCCCGTATTTCCGAAATCCTGGTTTTTGCCGGATTAACGAAATCCATTGGCTAGAGAGTAAGAGTCTGCTCGTTAAATCCGCTCTATAGCTAAACAATCACACGGGATTTAATAGGATTTACCATGAATGTTACCAAACAACTTTCATGATTTAGGCCCCTCGAGATTTTCGAAATCCGAATTTAGAGGATTTATGAAATCCTACTTAGATAAAATCCTGAGTGCTACCAAACAACCCCTTTGTATTAGAGGTCAATGAATTAATATTTGGTGAGTTATGAAATAAAACAATGATTTCTCTGCTTCGTTGTGTGATTGTTGTCTTAGGTTTCCTTCCTTCTCTTGGTTGGGGCCAAGAGCCTCCTCTCCCACTCCTAATTGATGATGTGCAATCCTTGTCTTTCTCTTTTTCCTCTTTCTTGTGTAATTTTGTGTTTCCATTGTTTATATCTCTATCAGTATTGCTTTCAAGTTTCAACTGAGTACTAGCTCTCTCTCTCTCTCTCTCTCTCTCTCTCTCTCTCTCTCTCTCTCTCTCTCTCCATGCATTTTCACATTCCATTGATTGCAGTAAAGATTCAAGACTCTTTCTATTGATGTTAAGCAGTCAGATTAACAGATTGTAATTTTAGACTTCGCTAAGTCCTGAAGGGTCTATTCATTTTAACACAAATGAGAATGAGTTGCAGGTCTATAGATTTGAAAGGATTTGTTTAATATAGATAATTCTTTTAAACTTTACATTCGTTTGTGGAGATGAGATCTCTGCTATAGTTACAGATTTCATCAAGTGCAGGCCTGTAGCCGATTGGGCCAAATCTTCAGGAGTAGAGCAGTTTCTTTTCATCAGCAGTGCTGGCATCTATAAGACAACTGAAGAGATCCCACATGTTGAAGGGGTATGCACTCGACTGACTAATTGTTCTATTGGAGACAAGTTTTGTTTGTTTGGTTGCATTTGTTGTTCAAACTCGCCTTCTTAATAAACGAAATTAGAATTTACTTTATCTGTCTAAATATTTGTGTGGGGGCATCGCTTGATGTCATGATATTTCTAGTGGAAGTGGGGGTCTACCTAATGTTCTCTCATTATGGGGAAATTATTCTGTGCAGACTCCGAACGTGAACATAGAGGATCGTCCTGATTGCTGGCTTGCTGCTTATTTATTGAGTATTTACCGCTTATTTTAAAATACTCAGCAAATAAGCAGCAAATCAGCAAATACTCAGCAAATACTCCCAACTGAATATTTACTGTGTATCTACAAATATGCAGTAAATACTCAACAAATTAGCAACAATCCGGATAATTTTCTACGTTCAGAGTCCGCACAGAATAATTTCCCCTCATTATGGTGTAGACGGAGGCTTGGGAAGCTAGTATTGGCCATTTGGTTTTGATGCCATCGTGTCGATTCAGTGTGTTTATAAGCAACTTACATTTTGTAGGCCGACCTGTCTTTTACTAAGACTGAAGAATGCCATTACTGCAGGATCCTGTTAAAGATGATGCAGGTCATGCTGCAGTGGAGAGATACATTGCAGATTTGTCTTTTGGTAGCTGGGCAATATTCCGCCCCCAGTACATGATAGGATCTGGAAACAACAAGGATTGTGAGGAGTGGTTCTTTGACAGTATGGCTCGGCTTCTCTCACATTCTTGGTTCTGTTTCATTTTAGTCATTTACTAAGTATTTTTGCAAGTAGAAGAAAACATTAGAGGTAGCCATCTTCTTCTTTTTTCTGTCATTCCCGGTGAGAATCGATAGAAACTGATTATAATCTTTATGTTTGGTTTGATGTCGGTCAATTCTGCATCCATCTGGATTACAGGTTTTGTTTGGGATGGCTTTCTTCAGGCTTCTTAAAGCGGTTTAAAAAGTTGTTTTAAGAAGCAGGAAAAAAAACCGTCCCAAACGAATCCTAAAACTGATTATGCATGATGTGATCATGATCCTATTCAAATTATATCAATTGTGCAGTTGGCACCAAATCAAACAGAACTGCATTATTAACTTTTCCCTATCACCAAAAAATCTGGCAGGAATTGTGCGCGGTAGATCAGTTCGAACTCGAGCTCGTTTAGCGGTCGAGCTCGAAATCGTGTTTGAACTTGACTCGCGAGCTCGATAAGCTTGACTCGTCGAGCCTGTTAATGAGTCGAGTCCGAACCAGCTTGACTCGGATGCACCCCTACTGCTATATTAACTTTTCCCTATCGCCAAAAAATCTGGCAGGAATTGTGCGCGGCAGACCAGTTCCAATTCCTGAATCAGGGATGCAACTCACCAACATCTCACATGTGAGGGATCTATCCAGCATGCTTTCCCTTGCAGTTGCTGACCCCATTGCTTCCTCTCAGAAAATTTTCAACTGTGTTAGTGATAGAGCCGTTACATTCAACGGTTTGGTCAAGCTATGTGCACAAGCAGCTGGTCTTGAGGCCAAAATCATTCATTATGATCCAAAATCTGTAGGAGTTGATGCAAAGAAGGCGTTTCCTTTTCGCAACATGGTGGGTTTTTTTTTTTTTTTTTTTTCTGTAAATTGTTTCATTTTAACTGCCATGCTATGTTGCACCGATACACCTATTTATAAAGACGTGTTGTATCCGATACACGGATACGCCTCCGATATGGCACCGATACGTGTCAAATACGGAAAAGCCGTATCCAATTAAATTATTATTTAATTTCAAAAGGACATGCGTATCTAAAACGCGTACCCGTTGAAAAACAAAAAAATCCTGAAAAAAAAAAGACGTGTCTTATTTACTTCCGCAGCTGCAAACAAAATTCTCTCATTTCCAAGATGGATTTTGATATTATAAGCTACAAGGTTACAAATTATGTTTTTTTTTTTTGTAATTTCAAATATTATGCTTCGATTGCTTTCTTAATTTTTATGTATGATTTATAAATTATAAAGCTATGTCTGCGTTGTACCTGTATCCTGTATTTTTAAGAATTGACGTGTCTCTTATCTGTATCGTGTCGTATCCGTGTCGCCGTATCCGTATCGATGCAACATAGCTGCCATGTTTGCTGGCGATGGCTAACGCATGGCTGTTTTGTGCAGCATTTCTATGCAGAGCCAAGGGCAGCCAAAGAGAGACTTGGATGGACTAGCACCACCAATCTTCCTGAAGATTTGAAAGAGAGGTTTGATGAATATGTTAGCATTGGAAGGGACAAGAAGCAGATACAGTTTGATATTGATGACAAGATTTTGGAATCTCTCAAAGTAGCTGTAGCAGTTTAAGCATTTCTAGCTCTTTTTTTTTTTTTGTACTTACTTACTCATGCCCAACCCTTCCCTTGCCATTCAAAAACGAAATATATATAGATATTATAGTAACAATAAGATGGATATTTTCTTTGCTGCATTTGTTGTATTTTATTTTATAAAATTGAGGGCATAAGAAAGGGTCAATTGCAGGAAGAACAACGATGATAGCAGTTTTTATATTTTTTTTCTATCTATTCACTTTCTTGTTGGGACAATTTTTTTCATCTGTGATATGGTGTTCTCTTACCAAACTATGAATAATTTCTTGGGACAGAAACAATTACTATCAGAAGCAAGACTGCAAAGAGGGGAAATAAGTCTTTTTTAAAAAATCAATATATCTCCAGTTGAAGATAGAATTAGACAGAGTTGCCTTACATGATTTGGTCACATAAAACGGCGGTCTTCCGATGACCCGGTTAGGAAGGTAGATGTATTAAATTTGACTTATGTTAAGAAAAGTAGAGGTAAACCTAAAAAGATTTGATTATAAAATACTATAAATGATCTTTCTTTATTAGATTTCAACGAAAATTTAACCTTTAACATGACACAATAGAGAAAAAAGATTCATATAACCGACCTAACGTAGTGAGACAAAGGCTTGATGTTATTGTTGTTATTGTATTTTTAGTTTTTAAAAAATGGCAAGCATTCATCATATTTATATTTCAAGTCAATTTTGAGCTGGCTTGATCCAATCTATTGAATTGTGCTGGTTCACTTGAGGTTAGTCATTGAGATTTAGCATGAGGGCACACTTTATGATGATAAAATGACCTGCTTCATAATATTTCACTCTTGCATTATAACTACCAAAATTTGCCTGCATGGCTTCATGGTTAAGTTGATGGGAAAGGAAGAATAAATTCAAAAATATAATAAGCAAATTTGATTAAATTGGATAATACTCATTTATATCACAAAATAATTTTCATTCATCAATAATACATCTTCATTACAAGCTAGTAAATTTTTTTTTTTTATAAAAATAAGATTAGAAGAACAAGTTAAAATATTATATTAATATCACAATCCTCTCAAGGATCCCTCAAGAAGATGAGAAATTCTTCCGTGCGAACACCGGTACCGTCCGGAGGCAAATCAGAGCGTACCACGTTACCCATTTGTTGTGTACCTAATGATATGGCGTGCTCTAATTCGCCTCTGGATGATACGATGTCAAGATTGATATCAAGCGGGAACTCAATATTCTCTAGTAAGAATCCACTACACCTAATTATCATAAATATAACAAAATTATTTAGGAGAAACAAAAGCAACAACAAACAAAGCATATAGAGTATTTCTATGTCCTCAAATAATAGTCTTTCACCCATGACCCAAACATTATAATATTCATCAAAATTTTGTGTTATGAAATATTCTATGAATCAGCCACATCTAATGTGTCAACTGAACTGCTGCCAAGGTTTTGTTCTTCCATCAGCTTCATCTGCCTTTCTGCATATTCCCTTTCACATTGGCTAATACCCATTATAATGTCAAGCATTGTCCCAGTTGTACCAAAGAAGACTAGAGGTGCCAAAGATTTCTTTCTTATTCCCACTGGGATTGCAATTAGAGCCCCAGCTACCGAAAAAAACCATGTACCCAGTGCACTGCAATAGTTGAGAAGCAATCAGCCTTCATTAGATGGATCTTTTTCACTCATAAGGTAAAATCATTGATTCCAATTGGAAGTTATCTAATGCAACCAAAAAACAGGATTGTAAATGACTCAGGTCTTCCTTCTTCAAACATAAATATTCCAACAAAGATTACAACTTAAAGATACTTTTCATTAACAAACGTTAGACTTGACATATTGACGCAACTACACTCTTGAAGCTTAAAAAAATTTTGAGAAGAAAGATACATAGTTAAGGAGAAGGGAACCATGGATGAAAAAGAAGGGGTTAGAACCATGGATGAAAAAGAAGGGGTTAGAAGGCCGAGATGACATAGTTAAGGAGAAGGGAAAAGAGGCTAGCTCACAAGCTAGTGAAAACCCCCAGGTTTACAATCCAAAAATCAGCATATCCATCATTCTAAAGCCGCCACAAAACAGCCCCATTATAGGGGAAAAAAAAGGAAAAAGACAATTAATACATATAATTAATGCAACTCCCAAATGGCCAATACGAACACTTAGAAAACTGCAGCAAACATGGACCAAAGGGACAGCCGCCAGAGGGGAAAGACAAAGCATCCACATAGCATAATGGGGGAAAATCGAAGCACCAAGGGGGTAAACCGAAGCATCAAAATAGCATTTAATAAGCAAGGAAACCGAAATCTATTAGGGAAACCAACAGCCCACCTTTTGGGAATTAAAATTGGCAAGGGAAACACCAATAAGCCGGCTATGCCTACATCATTATCAATGCCATCCAACAAATTGTAGTTAGATTTGAGTGCATTTTGAAGATTCAAACAGTGGCAGACAATGTTAGATATGACATTATTTAGCATGATGTTCTTTTAAGAGAAATTGTTCAGTACTGGGATCATATTTTTAAAGAGAACTCTTGATAGCAGCAGCAGCCATCTAATCTGAATTAATTAGTGTCAATTTTATAAATTACTATTCTCCATTCACTTTTGATTGGTTAATATCTCCTAAGCTGCTTGTAGAAAATCTACTGCAAGCCATGCCACAGCCTGCAAAACGCCACTCCGCTTGTTACAGCCGGATCCAATTTTTGCCTCTCCACCTATTCAGCCTGAGGCCAATCATTGCCAACTGCTGCAAGCAACAGCGCCTGCTACTCTCACCTAATGCGCTCCCAATGGGCCCGACTGTTGGCTTTGCCAGCCTTGCTACAACTCTGTCTGATGGAAGTGAAATTATTCTGTGTGGATACGGACGCCGTCCGGAGGCAAATCAAAACTAGCCACATCACTTTTTGTTATGTACCGCGGTTGTACCAGGTGGCGTAGCGTGTTTTGATTCGCCTCCGAACAGTCCAGTGTCGGCACAGAATAATTTCTCCAAGCCATATGATATTCTAGCTAAGCAATCCACACCCTCGTTTTCTATATGTAGTCTACCAATCTCTATTTTGTAGATTTTTAAATTCTGAATTTAATATAATTGATTAGGTTAATTGCATTCTTGCTTTTTCATATTTATTGGTTATAGTTCACCTATAAATATTATATTTAGTATAACCACTGGATAAAGAAAAATAAATAGTATTCTCCTCTCATATCTTTTAGTTTATGAGATGAGAGATTTTTTTCTCTATAATACTCTTTTATTCTTCATCTTCCAAGCATTTTCTCAGAATTCTAAGCCTTCCTTATCATTCTTCCTTGTTTAAACCACGAAGATGATTAAATATGAAATGACTTTGGAAAGAATATTTTCCCCTAGCACCGTTTCCTGCCATGAATCAAGTTCTCATAGCAACGCTAGTACTCAGGAAAACCTCAGGTAGTTGATTATCCAGCTCAAATCAAAATTTTATACACTTAAAACCATCATCAATGTGATTGATAAAAATTATATGCTCTTGAATGCTTTCCATGTCCAAAATGAAAATCTAAAATATTCGATCATGGACTAAAACCTCGGATCATATGACAGGATATGCTTCATTATTTTAATCTCTTCATTTGTATTTAAAAGGTTATACAGACAAAATTATGGACAAGTCAAACTAACAAGTACCTAACATTGAGACAATCAATGTCACAATCTCTCTAATCCCTAACTTAGTACTTTTGATTCTTAAACTTTTATACAACTAATTATTCATCAACAAAATTACCAATAGTATAAACTATATTGCTATTTTTTTTTCCTATTCAGTGTAAATTCAACAATATGGACTCGAAAATGATAATTGGCAAGGCAAAATTGATCTTTTTATATTAATTATGAAGGGAATCCAAAAATGAAAGATAAAAATGCTCAATATGTATGCTCCTTTAACAAAAATATAATCATGTTGTGGCAATTCGCCTTAGATATTCAAGTCATCTTGAAGTGTTTTAGTGAAAAACATGCTAATTATCTAAGCAAACTGAACTTGTTATCCTAGTAATCCGTATAAAACCTCCTAGCCTTTTGCAACTATTCGTAATGACATCGAATGTAAATCATTTGTTGATACCTACACTAGAAACACTTGGATGGATCCTCTAATGAAAAGACAAGTTAGAAATCAATTGCATTTTAAAAAAAAACCACTCCATAAAGAACCAATTCAAAACTCAAATTCAAGTCCTTAGGATTGGTAATGATAAAAAAATATTTTTATTCAATTTTTGGAGAATACCTCCTTCAACAAGATGTCATAACCCAAAATCTTACTTAAGTGTTGGCATCAATTCATGAGGACAGGTTAATAATATTTCTGATGATGATCTGAATATGTCTATTGCTGCTCTCAGGAAAAGCTTAATAAATTGCATTAATCATCTGATCGGTCATTATAATTCCTACAACAAACTATCTCCAAAGTTTTGTGCCTTTATTACAAGTTTTTTAAGTAGAAAAAACTCCAAATAATATCTGAGAAACATTAGAAGTACCTATATGGAAAATTTTTGTTCAAGAAGAGATCCACACTTAAAAGAAATGTACGTGGAATCTTTCAAATATTCCCAAAAGAAAAAAAAAAAAAAAAAACTGAACGCAAAGATGATTTTAATGTGAAATACAAAGCTGATGGAAGTGTCAACTAATACAAAGGGATCTTTATTATAAACTATATTTGTATTTTCTCTCGTGGCTAATTAAGATTGGTTAATCCATCAACTAGATATAAAAAAATGTTTTTTTGAATGAAGATCTTGAAAATGAATTCTATATGATAATTATTCTTGGATTTGAATTAGATTAACTTGAACTAAGTCAACGTACTTAAGAAATCTATATATCTTAAAGCAATCACCAAGAGTTTGGCTTTAGAAATTCATTATGATAATTAAAAGGTATAAGTAATCTTAAGGGCAAAATGATCACACTTAATTCACCAAGAAATCATTTGATGTAAAATCTCTATCCTAATCCTTATAGTGATGATATCATCCTTACAAGTGATCATGAGGACGAGATTAAAAAGCTAACAGTTATCTTAGCAAAAGAATCTGAAATAAAGAATCTTGGTCTGTTAAAATATTTCTTAAGCATGAAAATAACAAGATAAAGAATGGGGACATCTGCTAGAAATATGTCTTAGACTTACTAAATGAAATTAGATGCTTTGACAGAAGCCTATCTACAGACAATGGATACTTCGAACAAAATTGGGATTCACGAAGATTCAACTCTTATTGACAAAGAAAGCTACCAAAGGTTAGTAAGAAAATCCATCAATACATCTCACAGTAGACCTAATATTTATTTTCCTATTAGTATTATTAGTTTATAAATAATCCCACAAAATCAGCACCTTCTGTAAAAGACTAAGGCATCTTAAAAAGACAATTGGAAATGAGCTATTCTTCAAAAAGTGGACTAACACATATAGAAATATTCATTGAAGCTAATTGGACAAAATTTATAACTGATCGTAAATCCACATATGAATATTGCTCCTTCAAACGAGAAAAATGATATTTTGTTGCTCGGAGCACTCCTAAGGCAAAATTTAGGGCTATGACCCATGAAATTTGTAAATATATGCGGCTTAAACATCCTATCAAAAAGGTTTAAAGATGCCCACTACGAGTAGTGACAACCAAGCAATTATTATCATTGCCAAGAGCCCCGTCTACTATGATCAAACTAATCATGTTGAAATTAATATATATTTCAATAAGAAAGAAATTGATTAAGGAATCATCCAAATGAAGTATACATAAGCCAAAATCTAATGCATCTAATCTCCTAATCGGGTCATCGAAAGGCCGCCATTTTATGTGACTAAATCATCTAAGGCGACTCTATCTAATTTTATCTTCCACTCAAGCAACTCCAACCTTTTCACGTATATGCTTGTTTTGTATCATGTCTCTAAGAGTAAAGCCATTCATCCACGTGAACATCCTCATCTCCACAACACTTAACTTAATACTATGCTTCTTTTTTAATGGCCAACATTCAGTACCATAAATCATTGCAGGTCTGACTACTATCTTATCAAATTTTCCCTTAAGTTTAAGGGGTACTTTTCTATCACACAACAAGCCTGATGCATTCTTCCACTTCAATCATCCAATTTGAATTCTACTCATAATATCCCGTCTATTTCACCATCACTTCAGACAATAGACCCAATATATCTAAAATGTATACTCTTATTAATGACTTAAAGTCACAATCCCCCCACTAGATCTATTACGATTAAAATTACACTCTATATATTCGGTTTTAGATCTACTCAAATGAAAACCTTTAGACACTAACGTTGACCACCAAAATTGAAGTTTACCTTCAACTCCCTCTCTAGTCATATCAACAAGAAGAATATCATCAGCAAAAAATATACACCACGGTACAACCTCTTGCAAATGTCTAGTGAGAACATCCATGACTAAAGCAAAAAGATATGGGCTTAAGGTGATCCTTGATGTAATCCAATAGAAATAGAAAAATACTTGACCAAACTACCTTGCATTTGAACAAAAGTAACAGCTACTTCGGAGAGGTGGTTCAATTAAAAGCCCAAGAAGGCTTGATTGATATAATAACACCATGTATAAAGCTAAGTTTCTCTATGCGCACTACAATTATTTATTGGTTTTTTTTTTCATGCTAGCAAAGCACCAACACTATTTAATTGTTATATATATATATATATATCAATAAAATATTTCTTATTTATGATACTATCATCTAAGTCTTTAAAAATGAACTAAAAGTTTAAGCATTTATTTATGATACAATCAAATTATTAAAAATTTAATAAACCACTGCGAATGAAAGTGAATAGTTTTGTTGTGCTCTTTGAAATTTGAAGCTACAACAATTTGCCAAAGGGGCATGCATCAATTAGCTTCAACATGGGATGGGCCAAATCACTTTGATTAGCTATTCTGAGCCAATCCTGTCTTTTGGAAGGCTATTTTAAATATACTATTAGCATTATTCGGACAACTTCATGAGTAGATGTGACAACTACAATTCTTTGATCAACCCCATAAGAGCGACTATTACTCGGTCAGACACCTCAGATGAATAAAGAACATTAAATAGGTCTATCACACCACCAGAAGAGCCAACTATAATATTCAATGGATTAGTTACAACACTAAAGAGTTCATATAAAATTTTCTTTCAGTTTTTTTATTAATAACCATTTGCAAGTGCAAATGAATCTTAAGTGGGATTTAGGAGACTTCGAGAACAAGAATAATCATCCAATTTGTAAACCAAAAATTTAGGAGAAACTGTTATGATCTTCCAGAAGGACCCAAAACTTTCCAGGAAGCTTGGGAAACTTTTCAAGAGATGAGAACAAAGTTCAAAGCCTAAATATCATCAAACATGCATCATCGTTAACAAGGGGAGAAGGAATTGGAAGTTTTTATGCATTCTCATATCAAAGGGAGGAGAAAAGTTCAAGTTGAATCATTCAAAACTTCAATAAAAATTATCAATCAGCATTTCAACAATTTTTCCACAAATATTCCATTGCAATAGGGCTTAAACGGCTAAGGCATGATTGGATGAAGATTAAATCTTATTTTTCATGAAATGCATGGTAATAGGGTTTAACTCATTCTCCTCAATTCTATATCCAAGACCTAATGGGGGTCTTATATCAAATTATGGGTGCCAACAGCTTCAGATTATTCAACGTATAATAATACATAATAACTCAATTATAGCCATGAGTAGTAGCAAGCTCAACCCCAAGAAGCAATGTCATCGCGCACTAATTAAACGAGTGTAAGAAAAACTTAAACTGGAAATGAAGAAGTTAAATAAAGCACATCCCTCTTATATTATCATTTTTTCAGACCCCATTGCAATCCTTGCTTATTTAGCAAAAATAGTGAGATAAAATAGAAGAGGAAAAGGATGATTGCATAAAAGACCTCCATAAAATTCATATAAACAATTCACAACAACAAGAAATGGCTTAAACCAATATTTTTAATGTTGAGCAAAGGAATTCATATCTATCAAGTTTGTTTTAAAATTCTAATTGCTAGTGACGAATAACCTACACAGTTTCAAATATGTGGGATCTTCCCAATCATCTCTAAACCATATCCGAGTAGCTATACAGAAAAAATCTGTATAAAACCATTAGCATCGCATTTTTTTCAAAGAACAGTTTGCAGGAAAAAACCTAACCACAAAGAACAATAGCAGGAGATCTAAAATACAAAACACAATAGAGAGAAAGTTCAAAAATCGAAAGAACAACCAAACTTTTAAAATAAGTGCATGAAAGCTTGAACTAGGAGCACATTGTGCATCATATAGTTAAGAGCATAAGTCACCACTGCAAAGCTTCCATCTACATCATCTAGCACTCAAGTGAAGTAAAATGCATCTAAGCTCTTAGACCGGAGTGATTATTACATCCTTACATGCATCATAAATCATTAGAATGCATGCTTGTCTAAGAAAATTGCACTTCTTCAAAAGATTTGGCAAATACGAAGTATCATTGACAGACTATTTAAAGAGTAACAAAACCAAAAGCTACGCTCTAGGATTGTTTGGTTGCAAGATTTAGCCAAAATTTAACGTAGATTTAGGCAAAATCTTGCCAGATGGTTTTTTTAGCCACATGAATCGTACTGCCTTCTTAAATTATGTTTTAGATCAAATCCCGTATTTAGGAAATCTCGAGTCAAATATGATTAAAGAGATTCACACCACTTCACCTTATTTTGCATTTTCTTCTCCTTCATCTAAATCTTAAACATTGAAAATATATGCCAAATAGTTTACTAGTCTTTAACCAGATTTAGCATCCATCATATTTCAGGATTTAATGTCTTGAAAATTTACCGAATTTGGATTTACAATATTCAGTAAATCCTACTTGCAGTCAAACAACCCGATAGAACTCTTTATGGAAATATTGAAGATAAATATTCCTAAAATTAAAATAGAAATACAGAAATACTGTTTGAATTCATAATTTTTTTTAACTTCTCTGCTTTTTTAACGAAGTGGGCTACTTTGATGATGGCGATTGGTAAGAACAACCCAAGTTTTAATCTAGCATATAAATGGGATAAAAAAACTCACTTAGCAACAGTGCAATCCTCCAGTTGCTTCTGCTGAACATGCCCGCTTCCTCCTATTTCCATATTATCCCCCAATTCCTCAGACGCCCTTGTTAGTCATAAAACCATGGAGATTAAAACGCATAATTGTTTCAATTTTACTCAAAAAATATCAATGCTGTAGCTTATAGAACATTTGAAACACTAATCTAACCCTATCCGGCTAAGAGATTGGATACTACACAAGAAAAGCTTACAGTTACTCACCTCCCCGGAGAATTCGAAGTAGAAGCAGTAGAACAGGTAAAGCAAGGAGAGATAATCAGGAAAGAAGAAGATGAAAAGAACGGGTAAAGGAGAATAACCGCGCCGGAGCCCCGAAATTCGCCGGACCCGAGCTTCCAATGGTCGCCGGCTTAGGGGATTACGATGTATAACGTAGCTGACCGCGACTTTTAGGGGCTGTTTGGCAACAAAGTGGGATTTAGATTTAGTGGGATTTAATAAATTCTTTAAATCCGGATTTAGTAAATCTGAAATGTGGTAAATATTAAAAATTGTTTGGTATGTCAAATGTTAAATTCTGAAAAAAATTTTGGTAACATATTTCAGGATTTATAGCAGTTAGGGATTTAAATGTGAAAAATATAATTATAACTTAAAAATAAATTTATAATTAAAAATAAAAAATATAATGTGTTATAAATTTAATATTATGTTAAGTACAAATTACTTACTAATTATTATTTACACAATTAATTATATATTTAATAATAGATATATTAATATCTATATTTTGTAATCTAAATCGTAAGTATATTAATATTTAATATTACACTATGAAATTAATCTACATATTCATAGATAAAATTAGTAGTAGTTTAAATTGATGCACGAATTATATATTAGTATATTGAATTTACCATACTTATATTATAATAATTGTAAAATTATGAGTAATTTAAGTATAACACTATGTAATAATCTTTAGAGATCCAGCAAATGGAGTTTTCCCTTTGTTTCAATTTCTTCTCTTTTCCGTTAGTGCTCTATCTCGCTCTACTCTCTCGACCTTAGTGCCATCTTGGTGTTATAAATTTGCAGCATGTGCTTCTGCGAGCTCTAATTCTGTGGTATTGTTCGACTCTTGTCCCGAGCACGAACTTTCTAGTCATAATGTAATTAAAATGTGGTATAGGAATGAATGTATAATATACAAAGATTATTCGATAACATTTATTTACATTAGTGTTCTATATAATAATATATATTAAGTTATACTTAATTAAATAATTGTATTTAATAAATTAATTAATTGGAATTAAGTTAAATTATATAATTTAATTATTTAATTATTTTTTATTATTAATATATTAATAAACAAATTATTATAGTGTAGAATTAGCAACTAAATTATATCCATATTACATCTTTTATAATTCGTTGTTAAATTAAGCCATTAATAATGCTATAATTCATATATTTAATTAAGTAATCAATAAATCGTTAATACATAGGGTGTACTCCTTTGTAGGGTTGTATGCCTGTCATTATCAACTACTATTGATTAGTTATGTATGTCACGGCTCCGATAATGCTTTGCAGGCGCAGATATAGATGAGTCTGCTCTCTGCATAGCTTTCGATTCTCACAAGTGCTCGCTTCTCGGACTTTGATTCAAACTTCAGCCGCTGCTCGACACCTTTCGCTAACCCGGATCTGGATCAAGTTGATTACTCCATTAATTATGATGCGGAAGCATAACTGCGGTGATGTTCCGTCTGGCTCTAGTTTGAAGGTAACTTTCTAGTGACACCTCTTTGTGTAGGGTCATACGCTTCATTCTTCTCAGCACTTATAATGTGCCCGCTTCGCGAATTCTACTACATATAGCCGGCTGTATACCTCTCCTCATATTATCTATAAATCTGGATTTAACTAAAGCCATGCTTGAGTCGTAGATTGAGATCCGGTGATTATTATCTGTGTAATCCCGTGTGGCATTTAATGCACGCCCACAACACCTGTAGATGCATTCGCAACATTGCGTAAATACCCGAGCGTTAAAGTCCCGCTTGATTAAAATCCGATACCAACACAAGCCTACTTACGACCGTTAGAATAGTGAGCCTTCTTTGTATTGAAGGGTCCAGGCATTCCATTTTTATCATGGCTTTAAGCACATGTTTATTCAAGTTTATCACCAAATCGTCATCATTCTAGAGTTTCATGTATCTATATATTTAGTATGTTACATATATTTAATACATTTTACTAATACCTATCTTCATCACTCTATAATTATATCAATATAAGTATATTCACAGCATATAAACAATTTTGTAGTCTAAAATATGTTTATTGATAGTATACTTAAGTAGTTCAAATACAATTGAATAATCTAGTGATATAACTAACCATATTCAAAATTAAATTAAATTTTATATGTGATGGTATATTATTGCTATAATATTAAAATTTTAGATATTATATATATAAATAACATGAAATAAAATAATATATATATAAATCCCCTATTTTTTATTGCCAACATGTATTCTATATTTATATTATATGTGATTATTTTTTTATTTCAAATATATAAATTGATGCTAAACTTTTTATTAGGGGAGATTGATAATGGTACATATGTAAATATCTTTATAATTAATATACAATTTTATACTTTAATTAATATATTATATAAAATTAGAAGGTACTTTGGGTAGATACATTGTTCCATAAAAAAAAAAATCTAATCAATTAAGGAGTAGGAAAATATTCTTTTGGCTTAGGAGAGCGAAAAATAAAGAAAAAGTCTACTGACGGACCTGGAAGCTTGCAGACACAGAAAAGTTAGAGGCGGCGGCGGATTCCCGATGATATAAACGATCCACCTGAAGTCTCCGGCGATATTGATCGGAATCGGAAGCTGTTTTCAGTCACAAGCAATCGCTTAGTACGATGGGCTGCACGCAATCGAAGATCGAGAACGAGGAATTGGTGGCGCGATGCAAGGATAGGAAGCAATTAATGAAGTCGGCTGTCACGTCCCGCAACGCCTTCGCCGCCGCCCACTCCGCTTACACCATGGCTCTCAAGAACACCGGCGCCGCCCTCTCCGATTATGCCCAGGGAGAGGTCCATGATCTCCACCTCGCTTCCACCGTCCTCCCATCTTCCTCTTCCGCCCCCGCCGGCCAAACCGCTTTCCCTTCATCATCAGCCGCCGTTGCTATTGGTACTGGCGCCTCAGTTGTACATCCCCCGCAAGATAACCTCCCTCCGCCTCCTCCTCCACCCGACCATCTCACAACCGTCTCCCCCTTACAGCGCGCGGCCAGTATGCCCGGTCTACCAATTTCCAGTGTCCGACGGAGTAAATCTGCCCAAGACTCGGAGATAATCGAAGAAGACGATACGGAGGCCACTGTGGATGATTCTGAGGTGGATACTGTTGACGACAGCTCCGGAGCCCCCGCGACGCCTCCGGCACCTCCTGCACCACCAAAACCCTCAGAAACCAAACCGCCGCTGCAGCACCCAGCTCCCGACGAGAACTGGGATTTCTTCGGCATATTCAAAACCGAGAATATCCCCGCTCCATCTCTCGGTCAGCCGGAGGAATCGATGCTCAATAAGGAAGCGGAAAATTTTGCCCAGACAGAATCTTCTACCGCTGCTGCTATTAAGGATCCCACGGCTCCGGTCCCAGCGACGGTGATCCCGGAGAAGATTGTTGCCGAACCGCCACAGACTCAACAGCAAAAGATAGTGAGGAAGCCGAGGCAGAGCGGCAGCTCATCGCACCATCATCGGACAGGGTCTTCAGGTGGGGGGTCGGAGAGCAAGCGAGGGAAGATGGTTCCCGCTGTTCCTCATAGTTTTAGCTTCCTGCAAATTCTGAATGAGCTGGATGACCATTTCCTCAAGGCTTATGAAAGCGCGAAGGAGGCTTCAAAAATGCTTGAGGCAACAAGGCTGCACTATCACTCCAATTTCGCGGATAATCGAGGTGATTTCCCTAACCTTTGGGGCTGTTTGGTAGCATTCAAGATTTAACGTAAAATCAGAATTTTCGGGCCTAAATCCTAAAAACTGTTTGGTAATATTCATGATAAATTTTATTAAATAATGACTGTTTGATTATAGAATGGATTTAATGAACAAATTCTTCCTCTCAAGTCAACAGGACTTCTTAAATTCACAAAAATCCGGGATTTAGCAAGAAAAGGCTGAATTTTCCAATATTCATTTGCCATGAGATTTGGTTTTGCATTTTAGGCCGTTTGGCTGGATTTCTCCCACATTCATCTCAATCTGACCTAAATGCTGCTACCAAACAGTCCCTTTGGATTACATTTGATGGAAAAAGATTGCTATGCTGTAATTGTTCCTTTCTGGTTGTAAGATGACAAGCTTTTTGCATTGGATTTGAGTACTAAATATATATTTGAGTGTTGTTAAAACCGCCAGAAGAAGGCCAATAATATTTAAAGGGAAAACCTTTGTGCTGTTTGTAAATGACAAGCTTTTTATTTTATTTCACTGGTATGTTTTCTACGTGGGGGCATCTTCAACCGAATTCCAAACGCTTGAATGGCGTCTCTCGCCCGCTCCAGCATAACGTTAAAACTTCCGCTATTTGGTTGCGGGCGAATAATGGGACGCTAATATTGGCGTTGCACTGTTTATCTCCGCCATTTTTATATCTCTACCGAACTTGCCGCGTGAAAGAAGAGACGACAGTTACCTACGAAAGGGGGAAAAATGGAGTTCGATTGGAGATGAATCACTGCATTTTTTAGTTTCACGACATTTTAGGTTGGAGATGCTCTTAGTATAGCTAACTGTCATTTTTTTTTCTATCATTGACGACTGCTATTTAGCACTTTAACTGTCTTTTTCTGATAATTATTCTTGTTTTTTTCACCCTGGTTTTAATTGATTTTTTACAGGACATATTGACCATTCTGAAAAAGTCTTGAAGGTTATCACATGGAATAGGTCAATTAAAGGCATCCGCAGCGAGGCTGATGCCAATGATGATTTAGATGATGAGAAGTGGGAAACTCATGCCACAGTGTTGGATAAGATGCTTGCATGGGAGAAGAAACTTTATGATGAAGTTAAGGTAAATGAATCTGTTCAAGAACTCTTTGAACTTTTTGTGTTTCTTATTATGCTCTTTGTTCTTGACTTTATTGTCTTACGACTTGATGCTAGATTGCTATTTTTTTATTGTAATTTGTGTGGATAGTTTTTATTCCTCCTTTTGTAAATTAGGATGTGCTTTTCAGGCTGCAAATTAATGAAAGAGAATGCATGTCACAAAATATTGAATCATGCAAAGCTTGAGATTTAGGTTTCGTTTGGGACAGTTTTTTTACTGCTTCTTGAAGCAGTTTTTTAGCACAAAAAATTTTAATTTTTATATTAAAAAGCTGCTTCAAGAAGCAGTAAAAAACCGTCCCAACAAAGCCTTAAGCTTCGTTTGAGCCGACTTTCTTACTGTTTTCTAAACCAAAACCAGCTTTTTAGTGCAAAAATTTTATAAACTAAAAAATTTTGTACTAAAAATTATTTCGTAAAGGAATAAGTAAGTTGTCCCAAATGAAGCCTTAAACATCAGGCTTTGGAGTTGTTTTCAGCCTTAGAGCATTTGTTGAGATTCTTGGGTAGGAAAGAAGCTTTCTTCAGCTTTTGGAAGAGAGGAGGATAGAGAGAGAGGGAAGGGGAGAGAGAGAGCAGCTGAAATTAGATACTTTATTGCTTAATCATTCATCTAATAACAACCTATAGAGTCTATTTAAAGACACAAAAACTTACACCAATGGAAAAACAAACCATACAAGAAACTAAAGAAAGAACACCTAAAGCTAACAGTAAAATACAAAAAACATACTTAAGTTGCAACAACAACATCATCAAGCCTTTGTCCCACTACGTGGGGTCGGCTACATGAATCCTTTTTCTCCATTTTGTTTAGTTAAAATTCAAATTCTTGTTTAAATCTAATAAAGAAAGATCATTTCTAATATTTTCTAGGATATAAAAAAAAAACTCTAACAGCGTCTCTCTGTAAACTCATCTCCAAACAACTTTCTTTCAAAAGAATGCAGGTGTTTCTTTGAACAAGTCGTGCATAATATGCAATTATAAGCTATCTGAAGTATGTTATGTTGGAGTTCATAGAAAAAAAGAAATGGCATCAAAATTTTAATTGTTTATCCATCCTATGAGTATTCATGTGCAAGTAATACCTACAAAAAATTTGGAAATTATATAATTCCTAAGGAGAAGAACAATTACATAGAATGACCATCGACCCCACATAATAAAATATATATGCATTATATTCCAGCACCAAATATCCCTTTAATTCACCAATCCATGGGATTTGTACACTCTAAAATCCCCCTCAAACTGAATGATAGAGATCTAATATTTCAAGTTTGTAAATGTAGGATTGCACTAACCTTTGGTGAATATGCTGATGAGTTTAACCCACTCTTCAAAATTTTGTTAATTTATAAAATGCCTATCTAACTCAACATGTTTGGTTTGATCATGTCATATTGGATTGTGGATAAAGCTGGTGATAGATTTATCATCACAATATATCCTCATAGTTAATTTTCATTTGATTTTTAAGTTGTCCAGTATTATTTTAACTTATAAAGTTCACAGATAATTTGAATTATTCTCTGAATTTAAATTCAGCACTTGACCATAACAAGTTGTTCTTGCCTCTTCTTGTTATGTTACAAGATTTTATCTCAGTGTTATGCAACATCTTCAAGTAGATCCAACCTATTGGTGATTAGTTTTAGATTTTTTGTAGAAAATTCCCTTTCTATGATTTGATTCTAGATGCCTGGTTACTTTGTAGGCAACTTGAATGCAAGATTTTTTTTTTTCATATGAAGACACAAAAGAACATTGTAAGAATTGAAATTTTTTCATAAGAAGAATATTTTATGAAAAGAGTATGATCTCATTGACTTTGTTTGTCTCATTTCATATGAAGACACAAAAGAACATAGAATTTCTAGTGTGTACTAGAATCAAATCACTAAAATCAATCAAAATAATAATAAGAAAGGCTGGTGTGACTTAGGCAATAATATAATCTCATAAAAAGAAAAATATAAAAGGCATTTGAGCTTTTACCATATACAACAGCTTAGATCTATAGACTCAGAATCCAGGAATTTCCTTTTGAGGTTCATCATTCTAATTCATCATTAGAAAAGTACATAGATTTTAGCACTAGATTAGACTAATGCTATTTTATAGTTCTTTAAATGTCACTTGGGAGCCTCAATGTAGGATTTAGAAAGAGTATTAGGATGAAGAACTTAAAGAGAAGAGGTTTGGATTGAGTTTATTTCAATCCAAATTTAGGCAAATCTAAGGGGCTGTTTGGCAATAAGTAGGATTTGACTTTAGTGGGATTTAGTAAATCCTGTAAATCCAGATTTAATAAATTTAGAGGGTGTTAATTCTTGAAAATTGTTTGGTATGACATGTGCTAAATCCTTATAAATTTTGAAAGATTATTTGACAACGTAATTCGGGATTTAAGGTAGTTGGTTTGTTTAGAAATTAAATTTAATGTGGTTTGAATTTAATATAGTATAATGATAAATAATATAATTAGAAATTAGTTTAATTAGTACTAATTATCAAATTAATTATTTAGGTGTTAATTTTAAATTACTTAATAATGTAGGTCATATAGGGTTTGCTTTTCCTCTTATCCCATGCTTTTTCGCTTTTCCTCGTCGTCGTCGTCGCCATTTCTTCGTGGCTGCTTTGGCTTCGTGTGCAGTGCATGATTCGCACGATAGAGCTTGCTTGTTGCTTCACTTTCTTTGAAGACATCGGATCGGAAGTCACGACGGGAGCTAGCTCACTGCATAGGTAACTTTCACCACCTACTTCCTTCACGACGGGAGCTAGCTCGCTCATAAGCTCGTAAATCCCATAGTCCTTAAATTCGCAAATCCGCCGAACAAAGGGATTTAGTAAATCCTCGATTTAGTCATAAATCCGAGATTTATCGAGGACTGAGATTTACATAGAGCTAAAAAATCATTTGACAGGATTTACCATAAATTCGGCATAAATCTGATACCAAATAGCCCCTAAGGCTTATTAAAATGGTTTGAGCTCTTAAGAGTTTCTAAAATTAATGAGATAATTTTTTGAAGTCTAAGGAAGATGAGATAATTTTTTGAAGTCTAAAGGAAGCTCCAAAACAACAATTATAAAGAGAGAAAATTCTAAAAAAGAATTTTATTTTCATAATATTTTTATAATCGTGGGGTTCGGGTCTTGATGGAATGGTGGATCTCATGCGAATAAGGTTTAGCGGATCCAAAACCAATAATACGACGACATCCTCACTGTCTTCTCCCTCCCGCGTGTAATCCGAGCCTCCCATGAAGGAGATACAGATTTCGCCGGCGACGACAGAAGGGAGAACCCGTTTTAATCCCAGTTGACCTAGATGTCTAGGGTTTTTGCCACAAACATCCCACAAGAGAATTTGAAATTACCTCACCGGAGCTTTCGTCCGATGGCTGGCATAACGTAGGAAGTTTCGTATAGTAGAGGGGCAACTTTTCCGATTTGCTCCTCGTCTGCTTTCTCGCCAGATTCTATGAAGATCGAACCCGCCAAACTCCGGTTCTTTTTGATATTGGAAGCAGCAGTAGGCAAATAAGAAGATAGGGATTCGGTCAGGTCCCTCACCTCTGAAAGTTCTTCCAAGTTCTCTTCTCACTCGAAAAATGACTCCCTCCCCTTGATTCTTTCAGCCCGCCAGATGCAATTGCCTAAACGACTTGTTGAATATCCATCGTAGCCCAAATTTTTTATAGATGAACGGCAAGAGCCCTTGAGGACGTCAGACGATCGTGCAAAAAAGTTTTCAGCACCACCTTTGCTCGGTTCATCCCCGTCGTGCATCACTAGCCATTCAATCTCCCATCACCTGATTTGGAGAGGCGTCAGGCATGCTAAGGAGGCTGATATATAGCCTTCTTTGGTAATGGCTAAACCAAATGAACCAATTAGGTTCAGTAAAGTTCGGTATTGGGTATGGGCTGAATTGTATGAGCTAATTAAAAATTGTTTGGGTTAACGTAGCAGATTTGGGTCAACTTGGGATAGATCTAGATAAAAAAATTGAGTCAATAGATAAATTTTGAGTAAAGAAGCTTTGTTTTTCTTGATTGGATGATAATATTTATACTTTTTTTTTTAAGTTGGTGAATATCCTAAAAAGATACATTAAGTGCCCTTGGATCAAGTTTGCCTTGGCATTGTTTGCGGATGTGAACATTTGACACAATAAAAAATTTTTGTAGGAAACTTTGAGAAAATTTTATTTGAGGGAAAAAATATAACAAGATGGTTTAGGAAACTTTTAAATCAATCACTTTTGAGAGTATTCATTTAGGTTTTGTTTGGGAAGGCTTTTTTACTGCTTCTTAAAGCAGTAATAAAGCTGTCCCAAACGAAGACTTAATTAGATATGTTTAGATTAGGAAAGTTTCTCCCAAAGGTATTTTAGGAATATAATTTTGGAAGAGAAGAGTCTTGATAACTTTAAGGAGAAAATTTTTACTTTTTGCCATCGCATTTTGTTGTGGGGTGTAAGGGTAGGAAAAATGGCAGTTAATACATTTTTTATTAAGAAATGAAGTTAAAAATTGATTAACATAATTTTAAATATTATCAATCCTAGTTTTTTTTTTATGTTAACACCAACTTTGTTTTGTATCTTAGAGATAAATATTAGAAGAATATGACTATTATCAAATTTTTATTTTATAAGAGAGACATATGTCATATGAATGCAATTATTAATGAATGTGATAACCCCAAAAGTATTAGAGGTTTTTTATGGTTTTCAAATTTCAAAGAGAATTATTATAAAATGAGTAGAGGATTTGAATTTACTTTCAAGAAGAGGAACTCTATGATATTTAGCTATTTTGTAAGTCTTATGATGAAAATTAACATTTATAAAAAGATAATGAAATATATATTGTCGGGTTTTAAATAAAGAATGCTTTGGTCTGTGATGATGATATAAAATAGTGTCTTTATTTAAAATAGAGACGAGGATCAAGATAAGTGGTTACTATTTTCAAACAAGAATAGTTCATCATTTTCTCTTGCCCTACCATCTTCCTCTTAATGAGTTCTAAAATAAACCATAGTTAGGGGAAAAAAAAGCTACCTTGTAGTTGTGGTCTTTTTGTGATTTTATGAATAGATGGAATATTTACTACAATATTAGGAACATGTTGAACGTTATTGAGAGTAAATGTCGGAGAAATGGGAAGATTCTCTTGACCTACAATAACTATTATTTATTTTTCTATTGTTGAGATAAGATTTGTTGGTTTGAAAATTATTGGCAAAGTTTGTCATATGATCAATGGCTCTTAAATCTAGTTTCAATGTTATTATAGGGGAGTTACTTGAGGTTTCAAATGTATAAGAATTAGAATCTATATTATTATGAACTAGAGTGCTTGACCAGGAAAATTTTTCAAAGAGTTGAGGAAGTTCCTTAGCTTGGAAATTTCTTTTGAGTTGAGCCTTTCTTGTTTAATGAGATAAACGTACCATTTTAATTGGATTTCTTTGTTTTCACCATAGCCTTGGGGCTTTTTGTAGAGTTTTTAATATGCCTCTTTTTATTGTAGTAGTAATTGCACCACATGTAGCTTTTAGGAAAGACTTTGTCCTTGTTTTGGGAAGATTCAGTCGAAGTAAGTCATTTTCCTTGAGTTTATGTGGTTGTATGGCTCATGGCCTACTCTATAGATTTGGGAGTATCAAACGTTATTATTCTTCTTCCTTGTTTGTTTTGTATAATCGAGAATACCTCATTTATGAATGGTAGGTTCACTTTGCTGAAGATTTAAATACTAGTTTTGCCCAATTCAATACTGAGTCCTACAAAAGGCTCAAAAACCCTTTTCTCTTTCTACATTATTTTAGAGCTACAACATCATCCCTATCCTTTATATTAACATAGTTTTAGCTATTAGACCTTTATTGCATAAAAATATTCAATGTTAGAGAGGTTACCTTGCTTCATTTTTGAGAGCTTCACCTTGATCTGATAGATGAGAGCGACGTTTTAAACTTTTGACTAAATTTGTTTGACAGCTTCCCAAAATTCTTTTGCAATATTTAGTAATATGTACGATCCACTGATTTTAGGCATTGTGATGTTCCATAACTATGGCATAATCATCGAGTTTGCTTATCTAAAAGTTCAAACTTTGGATGTTTCAAATCCATAGGAGGATAAAAAAGATGGGTCTTCATAATCTAAGTCAATTTTAAGTAGTTTTTTCATTCAAATGACATGAGATTTGTAGTCCCCGAAATTCTTCTTCGGCAGAACTAGTCTAAGCTTTACTATTTATAATAGTCGATTCTTTGGAAGGTAAGGCAAAAAAATTTAGGCATGATGAGGAGGATAATAATGAAAGGCAAGAAAAACAAAGGCTGAAGAAAACTTTAATATTGCACTGATACCATATTGACTAAAGAAGTGGCTAGAAAGTTTTTGGTTGTTTATTCATCTTATGAGTATTTATAGATGCTTATAGCAATTAGGGAATTATTCAATTCCCTAGAAGAAAAATAATTATGTTAAATGGCCGTTGCCCCCGCATAATAAAATATATACACATAAATTCCCTTCTAATACCACATACCCCATAAGTCACCAATGCGGGGGATTTGTATTCTCAAAAAAGTTTTTTTAAATGTAGCAAGAGGGAATGCATACCTAAAAAAAGTCTTCAGCTTATTGAGGAATATTCATGTTAATTAACCAAGTTCAGTAACATGATCCATAGTTTTTTTTCTAGAAAGAGAACGAAGCAGCAGCTATTTGCCTATTTGAATCAGTAGTCAACTCAATATGTAAGGATGCTTTCATTTTCATGATCGAGGATGGAGAGAAGTGTTTATTACTCCTTTGGAGGGAAGTTAATGAAAATAGGAAAATATGAACTCACTATTAAATATAGCATAAATGGCTGGAAAAATGCATGCGCTTGTAAGTTGTGATGTATGTGTGATGCATATACTAATGTATGTATATGCCGATGTAAACATGCAGCTGTTCATAGGAGGATATTCCCATATGTAAATATCGAGTCACCAATACACAGTTCTGCATTATCTTCCTGCAAGAATTCATTCACTTGAGCATTTGTAGATGGACATCTTTATTTTTCAGATTAAGATATACATATTATCTGCAACTATTTATGTTTATATTTAACATATTACATACAATATAATACAGTTATGATTTGAGTGCCTATATGCTTGCGCACATTTTTTGCAGAATATTCTTAATTTCCATTCATCATGATAATGTCATACGTGGATGATGCTGATGGATATTTTGAACATCAGGTTAAAGTCTAGTCATGATTTTGAGTGCCTGTTTTTTTTTTCTGTATTGTGGACTCTACTTTTAAATAGCAGTGTGACCCTTTATTTGCTATAGTTTTCCCGGAAATACTGAACTCTTTGGTGCTTGTATCCTTGAATACAGGCTGGTGAGCTTATGAAATTTGAATACCAGAGGAAGCTCTATTTCCTGAATAAACAGAAAAAACGTGGTGTGGAATCTGAATCTCTGGAAAAGCTCAAAGCATCAGTGAGCCAGTTGCATACAAGATACATTGTTGATATGCAGTCGATGGATTCTACCGTCTTAGAAATTAACAGCCTGCGTGATCAGAAGCTGTACCCAAGGCTTGTTGAACTCGTTGATGGGCAAGTTATCCTGATTTTATCTATTTACTTGTTTATGTTAGAATTTTAGGCTCAGTTTCTACGAAATCTCTTAGTTATTATTTTGTTCTTCATGTCTATATTAATGAATATTGTTATGTTTCCGCGTCTGTTTTACATGCATTGCTTCATCTATTTATTATTTCATTTATCTAGCTTTTTGCTATCATCCTTTGGACATGTACAAAACTATTAGTATTTGATGCATTGATACATCGTGGAAGTAAAATAAGCAAGAAATCAGTAGAAAATTGCAGGAATTTGAGGAATTATGGCTGATTTTTTATTAATAATTCAACAAGAAAACTAGATACAAGCAATCTATAATTAGAGAGGTAGATCGTCTCTCCGAACAACCTAGACGCCGCTAGAAAACCATCAAAGGAAAAGAAATATAACAGTACTCAAATCAAAACATGCATGAAGTAAAATAAATCCTAGAACCAACCTTAAATAAGCTCTCAAATTCCCTCTAAAATAGCTTTCTTTCCATTTAATTTCTCTCTTAAATTTGAATTCAATTAGGAAATCTTTTCCTCTTCAATTTGAATTTAATTAGGAAATCTTTTCCTAATTGATTATTTCCTTAATTCCTCTCCTAACATAATGAATTAATTCCTTGTTGCGCCCCACAAGCGGGTCCAAATCCCCCCCCCCCGGATTTCGCTTGGTCCGTCTCTAACTGGACTAGATCCTACTGGATTGGCTTGTACAACCCTCCCTGTCCTGCCCTCTGCAGTCTGTTGTCATATCAATACTCCCCTCCTCGAAATGCACCTTGTCCTCAAGGTGGAATGATGAAAACTATCTCTTGATTATCTTATATGACTCTTATGTAGCTTCATACTTAGGGAGATCCTTCCATCGAACTAGGACCTTTTTGCTCCTATTGTCTCTTGTCGTGTATCAGCTATCTCCATGGGTTCCAAGATCACCTCCAAGTCCTTTGTTAATGTCGCCGGTTGTTAACTAACAAAATTTTTTTTTTTTTTAAAGCAACCGCCTTCAATCCGGCCCCATCTCGCCAAAACGACACATCCCTTCACGCAACAACCGTTGCTTCACGATAAAAAGAAAGGGAGAACCGAAGATGGAGATTCTTGACTGGCTCATTCGGTTCCTCCGTTTCTGTTCGACTTCGTTTCTTTGCTGGAGAGGGAGAAATCGCACGGATCACTCATTCGGTTCCTTCATTGTTGTCCGACTTCGACGTCCGACCCCCACGCCTGACCCGCAGCTGACGCTGCCGGTCCCGTCTCAACGTCGTTTCTTCGGCCCCTTATCGTTCGACTTCGCTGCTTTGCGGGAGGGAGGAGATTGGACGCCACTTCTTCGATTCTCCGTGGCCGTCCGACTTTATTCCTCCGCAGGCGGTGTAGAGATTGCACTTGTTGCTTATGCTGCTTCTCCGTGGTCCTCCCGGCTTTGCTCCTTCGATAACTTTCCGTACCTATTGGATCGGAAGAACGACATTTTGACCGGAAACAACAACAGGAATTTCCTGTTGTGAAGGTAATTTTATTCCTTTCATGCGATCCTTCGGCCAAATCCCATAAATCTGCAGAACCGAGGGATTTACTCATAGTCGAGATTCAATGCGTGCACAAAATCGGTTTGGCTTGGCTTAGTGTAAATCTGACATAAATCCTTATGTATATATGATATTGAATGCCTCGAAATGAACACAATCTTTGAAATGCTTAATGAAATATATAATATTATATATAAATATATATTATGATATATTTATATCATATTATTATTTATATAATATTATATATCTAATATAATTTATCTAAATATAATAATAATAATAAAAGAAGAAGAAGACTTTCAAATAAATATCGAAGACCTCGGTTGTTGTACTTTAGGTCCTACCGGGATGGTTTGAAATTGAAGACTTGCGCCGTTGATTTTTAATCCGGGCAGATGGTTTTAAAATTTGAAGACCCGCGCCATCGATCTTAGATCTGGGCGGATGATTCCAAATTGAAGACCTCACGCAGTAGATCTTAGATCCTGGTGAGATGGTTTGAAATCGAAGGCCCTACGCCGTCGACCTTAGGTCCGGGTAGGAAGAATTACGGCACTGCCGTCCCGATTTCTCCCTCGGTGGGGAGGTGATGCCGAGAGGCTGCCAAAATTTCAAGAAAATTATTAAATTTTTTTAAACAATTTTGGAGCAATTAAAGTTGAATTTTTTATCAATCAATTAATTTGTTTTTAATTAGTCAAAATTAAATGAAATTAATTGATTTTTTTAAGAGAAATTTGAGAGTTATTTAAAAATTTTGAGGGCACTGTAATTTAAAATATATTTATTGGTTAATTATTTTAATTAATCAACCCAAATTTTTCGGGTCGGAGCCGGGTCGGATTTTTGTGTCGTGTCAAATATTGACAGCCCTAATGCCACGTCACTAAAGTGCTCGGTACCGTGCTCGATACAGCACTCGGTATACTTGGTATGCTCGGTATTCTGTCTGGATGTAATAATTTCCCCCCCCCCCCCTTAGAGCATAATCCAGGTGATTATCTGGTCCCTTTAGTAAATCTTCCATGATCTTTCTCAACCCTTCATCTTGCTCACTCTACCTCAATGCTTTCCAGTCTAAGATCATTAACACCAATAAGGCTGTCAACTATGGTTCCTCAAGCCTCTTGGACAAGACATCTGTTGCTTTATTTTCTTAGACCGACTAGTATTAGATCTCAAAGTCATGTCCAAGTAACTTGGATAGCCATCTATGGTGCTTCCTAAGTCCAGGAGAAGGAAGTCTTCCACGACTTGAATATCCTGCAAGGTCATCACCACCCCTTTACATACCCCTCGACTCCTCTCTTTCTTATACGTCCCCATCATCACCCCACATCCTTCAGTCCTCACTAACTTCAACCTCAATTGGTCCACGACCCAATTTGAGATGAAGTTATGTATAGCTTCACTATCCACCAACATCACCACGAAATGCTCACCGATCTGCCCCCTCACCTTCATGGTGTGATTGGGAGTGAACCTCACTACAGAATTTAGGGACACTTCTGCCACGTCAATATGTAGGTGCTATGTTTCCACCACAACATCCTCCATCTCGTTCTCGCTCTTCTCTTCCTCTTTACAGACCATCAAAACCTGAAGGGCTCGATTCTTCCACCTATGTTTGGTTGTAAATCTCTCATTACACCTGAAGCATAACCCTTTTGCTCGTCTACCCTGCACTTCTACTTCTGTGAGGTGCTTTAAATTGCCTCCAGGGCGAACTCCAGTGCTCTTCTCTTTCGGTGCTTCCCCTAAAATGACACTGTATGGGTCTTTGGTGTCAAGGTCGTGGTGGTACTCCGGTAAGCCTCTCCCATGATGTTGCTCCAACTGATCTTCTCCCTCTGATGTTTCTCTTCTAACCTTTGCGCCGGCTCCATCGTCTCTCTTAGTCCTCTAGGTCTCAACACCCCTGAGCTTTGCTCGTATGACCTCATAAAATTCTCTTCCAACCCCTCAAAAATTACCCTCAGTCTTTTTGACAGTAGCTCAAATTTCTTCTGTTACTCCATAACAGTCCCTTCTTGTGTTAAGACATAGAACTGCTCGATGAGGTCTTCTTTCCAAATGGCTCGGAAACATTCTAATAAGCAATCCTTGAATTCCCCTTAAGAATAGATCGGATACGTGGCTTCTCTCCACTGAAACCAAGCTAGTGTTTTCCTCTCCAAACATAGGTTTGTCGTAATGAGTTTTTTCCCTTACGTCAGTCCATTGATAGCAAAGTAATGCTCCACCCGATACACCCATCCCTGAACATCTTCCCCTTCAAACATTAATATTTTTAACTTCCTTGCTCTTGCCTCCATACACAAATGGTTTCTTCCTCCGTTAGTTTCTCCCGTGTAGTATTGATGTGATTCTCTCTCTTCCTCCCTTGGCTGATTTGGACCCCATGATTTGGCCTAACCATTGCTTCCTCTGGTCCACCTTCCCTTCTTCTTAGGTAGTCTCCAAAAATCTTTGGCCTCCCCTCTTATTGTTGTCCCGTCTTCGAGGCACCTTGATGCACCTCCCATTGGAGCCCTTCGGGATGGTTCTTGAGAGAAGACCATCTCCACTTCGTCATCATCCTCATGAAGTCTCTTTCCTTTTAGAGCAGCCTTCGAAATAGCCGGTGAAACCTTTGACTACTTCTCGATTAATTTCTTCATCATGTCTTCAATGTTCTCAAATCAAATTTTCACGGATGACAACCTTTCTTCTACCGTTGTGAACTTCCCTTTCATTCCGGAATATTTCTCCTCCATTCCGGCCTTGAATTGTTTCACCTCCTATTCCAACGCCTTCATCTTCTTTGCTTCACGAATCTAGATTCCAAATCGCAACAAACTACCAAAAATGGTGACTTTGGTCTTCAAACAACAGAAATCAGTAAGACAGGGATAAAATACACAAGCAAAATTAATAACAAGAGCTGAAATTTTAGCCCAGGACATCGCTCTGATATTAATTTGATATGTCATGGAAGTTAAATCAGTAAGAAAATTGTAGGAATTTGAGGAATTATGACTGCTTTTTTATTAATAACTCAACAAAAAAAAAAGATACAAGAGATCTGCAATTAGTGAGGTAGAGCGTCTCTCCCAACAAACTAGATGCCGCTAGGAAACCCTAAAAAAAGAACTACAAAATACTCAAATCAAAACATGCATGAAGAAAAATATATTCTAGAACTAGCCTTAAATAAGCTGTCAAATTCCCTCCAAAACACATTTCTTTCCATATTAATTTCCCTCTTCAATTTAAATTCAATTAAGAAATCTTTCCCTCTTTAATTTGAATTCAATTTGGAAATCTTTTCCTAATTGATCATCTCTTTAATTCCTCTCCTAACATAATGAATTCATTCCTTGTTGGGCCCCACATGGGGGTCAAAATTCTCCCCTAGATTCTGTGTGGTTCTCCCCTCCATGGTCCGGATCCTACTGGACCAACCCTCCTTGTCCCGCCCCTTGCAAGCTGCTGCCATATCACTATCATGGTAAGTAGCTAAACTGATGGTGTTGCAACTCAAATTTTGAAAACTTCATTTTTCCTGCAGCATTCAATAATTTATTTAAGTCATTATAAGCCTAAATCATAAACCGTCTTCTCCATAGCATCTCTATTGTTGTGTTTTAGTTTCTCTAATTTTTTTCATAATTTTTTGGCACTGGTGAAATCCCTTAAGAAATCGATATGTGACGATAACAGTGGGGTTTTGGGAGCGTCAGGTGTCCATTTTGCAAGCCAATTTCACCTAAAATTTTTAAATAAAATAAGTTATTTTATGGATATTTTTCTAAATTTTTTAGAATACATATTAGATTTTTTATAAATTTCATACTAAAAGTTCATTAGAGTATCATTATTATATTATTATTTTATAAAATATCTAAAGTCACTTAAGTTTAAAGTTATTTAAGATTCATTTTATTCATTTCATGCATTTACAGAGAAAAAATTGGAGAATTCAAGACAAAAAGAGAGATGAGAGAGAAAAGCTTGGTTTTGGCGATCGTAGAGTCATTTTTGTCTGTCGACCCAATTAGAAAATTTGCTTGTCTCGAGGTAGGTTGTAATGTTTTGCATATTTCAAATTTTTAATAATTTTATGTTTTTGATATTTTTTCGATCAAATCAAATTTGTATTTTCGTTACCGAAAAACGACGATAACTTTATTTTGGTAAAACTTTCACCTCGTAAATTTTTATATGTTATAGAGATTGTGATTACGAACATTTTGAGTATATTCTAAAAATTTTTTGCCATGTGATTTTGAAAAAACAATAATTTCTGTCTTCTCATAAATTTATTTTAACATCTAAAAATAGTGCTTCAGTTCAGTTAAAGCTTCAGAACAATATTTTACACAATTTATGGTAATTTGATTATGTTTTAAAATTGTTAATTTTCACTCAGTTGTATTTCTGCTGTCTACCATTGGGGCATTTTGGCAATTTTCGAATTCAATCCAATTATGTTTTAATTAATGAAATGCATTGAAAAATATGTTGTAAAGTATTGTGATGTCGGCACTAGTGGGCGACCAAGGTGAAATTCTGTTAAAAAAAAAATAAAAAAAATAAAAAGTGGGATTCTGTTATGCTGGCTTCAATAGGCGATCGAGGCAGAGTTCTATTATGCCAGTGCCAGTGGACGACCGAGGTAGAATTCTGTTACATCAGAGCCAGTTGGCGACCGAGGTGAGATTTCTGTTATGCCAACGCTAATGGGCGACCAAGGTGAGATTCTGTTATGCCGGTGCCAATGGGCGACCGAGGTGGGATTCTGTCATGCAGATGAGATTATGTTACCTAAGTGTTGTTATGCCAGAGCCAATGGGCTACCGATGCGGGATTTTGTCACGAAGTATTGCTTATAATTTAGTTCATTCAAGTATTTATTTAATTGTATTTAATTTCAGTATATGATTTAGCAAAATGTTTTCAATTTTTTTGATTATTGATTTATGTTTTAGGTACGATAGCCCATTGAGCCGTGTTAGCTTATTCCTGCTTTTTCTTTTATTTTCAGGATCGGGCAAGGGTAAGGAGTGAGCTGAGTAGTTTGGATAACACACTCTGATTTGTGTTGTAAGTATGTTATGGTTAGTTTTGATTTTTGCATGCTTGACTTTTATTTTTGTTGTGCTCTCTGTTGCCAAGTACTCTTGTAGATAAATTTCAGATTATATATGTTTTGAATGATATATAAAAAATCATATTGAGATTCAGTAGTATTTCACTTCGTAGCAATTGGAAGTTTTATTTTAATACTTCTCCAACCAAATGTTGGAGTCAGGTTTGCCACAATCGGATACGGTATGACCTGTGTGATATCGGTCATATTGGGTCGGGTTGTGACAAGATTTTTGGTATCAGAGCATTGGTTGGAGAAGTGAATTATAACAGAGCCATAAATGCTAATCTGTAGAAGAGTGAGATGCTTCTAGGTAGTTTTGGGTGCTCATTTTATTTATTTATTTCCTTTAAATGTATGTGTTGCATTCAGTTGTATTTTGAGATGGCTGATCCACCTCAATCGGATCTAGATATAACCAATTTTCAAAGTTTTAGTCAGGCAGCTCAGGTTTAGTGTACAGCTCTTGTGATCAATGCTGAGGCAATTTCTTAGATTGTAGGTATAGTAGCACAACTAGTTGGTGAGGCTCACACATAGGTTGTTGGTACCCAATCTGATGACATGGACAGATATTCACAAAATTTCATGAGATTACAACCTCCTAAACTTTCAGGTGTTATTGAGCCTAGAGCAGTTAAGGATTGGCTGATGTGAATAGAGAAAACTCTTAATGAGTTACATTGTACTTCTTAGAGGAGAGTTGCATTAGCTGCATTTTTATTTGATGGCGAGGTAGAGCGCTGATGGTTGAGCTAATATAGAGAAAAATTTCAGGGTCATGTAAGTACCCTGATTATTTGGGATGAGATTGTTGATACATTCAGGATATGGTTTGTACCTCCATATGCTGGGAGACATTTACAGAGCTCTTTTCTGAAGTTAATTCAGGGAAGCATGTCAATGATACAGTACGAGGCAGAGTTTCCTGCTCTCTCTAGGTATGCTCCACAGTTAATTGACACTTCTGAGGTGAAGTGTTACCGATTTCTGGAGGGGCTCCGAGATGCATTGAGGCAACCACTGTTGCCACAAGATATTACAGACTTTGCTCAGTTGATCAAAAGGAACTAAGAAGATAGAGACCGATCTGGTAGCAGTGCAACAGCGATGGACTATAAGCAAGAATAGATTTGATGACGAGATAGCTAGCAGTAGCCATTATGGGAAGAAGAACTGGTATAGACTTGTTGAATTTAGGAGGGGACAACCAATAACAATTTCTTCTGGATCAGATAGAGGCAGTGTTGTTAGTTTTGGGGGTTCAATGAGTGAGGCCCCATTATGTCAACAGTGTGGTAGAAGGCACAGTGGTCAGTGTTACAGAGCATCAGGTAAGTGTTTTCGCTGTGGTCAGTTTGGACATAGGATTGCAGAGTGTCCGCATGGTGATTTTGACAGACGTTCTGATTTCAGAGGCTTTGCGCAATCTACTGTGGGCAGGCCGAGGGCAGTACCACCTCGATAGTATACTGAGGCTTCTGGAAGCTAGGATGTTGGTTCGGTAGCATGAGGTCAACCTTCTGGAGGTTCACGAAGTGCAGGTAGTTCTGTTACTTTGACCGTAGTGCATCCACGAGTTTACAGTCTGACACAGCAAGAGACCAGTGAGTCCCCAGATGTTGTGACAGGTATGGCTTATATTTCTGCATATCATTGTCGTATTTCATTCGATTCTAGTGCTAGCCATTCTTTCATGTCTGTGCAATGTTTTGATTCTCTTGGTTTGTCTTCTGTATTATTACCTATTTATTTGCCTGTAATTTTGCCTACGGAAGACGAAATGGTAGCTAGTAGGGTTTGTTTTTGTGATTTAGAATTTTTTGATAGAGTTTGGAGATCATATTTGATTTTGCTACTTATTTTTGCATTTGATATCATTTTGGATATGGACTGAATGAGTCGATATGAAGCTCAGATTGATTGCTTGAAGAAGAAAGTGATCTTGTATTAGAATAGTGAGAGCTTCATATTTCAGGGAATTATATGTGTTCTCTCTTATTTGATTTATGCTCTATAAGTGGATAGATTTTGGAGGAAATGTAGCATGATATTTTTAGCATCTATTAGAGATGTGAGACTTTCTTCTGATTCTGTGAGTAGTGTACCTATAGTTTCGGAGTTGCCAGATGTCTTTCCGGAGGAATTAGTGACTTTACCGCTAGATAGAGAGATAGAGTTTTGTATTGATCTTTTTTCAGGCACTACTCCAATCTCTGAAGCTCCGTATGGAATGGCACCTAAGGAGCTTCAGGAGTTGAAGGTTCAGCTTCAAGAGTTAGTAGACAGGGGATTCATCCGCCCTAGTGTGTTTCCATGGAGAGCATATATTCTAGTTGTGAAGAAAAAAAACTGTATGATGAGCATGTGTATTGATTATAGGGAGTTGAACAAAGTCACTATTAAAAATAAGATTGATGATTTGTTTGATCAGCTGGCTGGATGTTCAGTATTTTTTAAGATCGAGCTACGATCTGGTTATCACCAGTTGAAAGTAAGGGCAAATGATGTGATGAAGACTGCATTTAGTACGAGGTACGGACATTATGAGTTTTTAGTCATGCTATTTAGAGTGAATAATGCCCAGCATCTTCATGGATTTGATGAACAGAGTTTTTAGAAAGTATTTGGACCAGTTTGTTATCATCTTTATAGACAATATTCTGATTTATTCTAGATCTGAGGAGCATGCAACACATTTGAGGACTTCTCTGGAGATTCTAAGGCAACATTAATTATATGCTAAATTTTTAAAGTATGAGTTCTTTCTGAGGAGCATTTCATTTCTGGGGCATGTAGTGAGCAGTGTAGGCATCTTAATAGATCCCCAGAAGATTTAAGTTGTTTTTGATTGGCCAAGGCCTACTACAGTTTTAGTGGTTCGTAGTTTCTTAGGCTTAGCTGGCTATAATTGAAAGTTTGTTTAGGGATTTTTTCATATTTCTTTGTCTTTGACGAGATTGACTCAGAAGTCAGTAGCTTTCATATAAGCTTCGGAGTATGAGGAGAGTTTTCAGTTGCTGAAGGATCATTTAACTTCTGCTCCGATTTTGACTATTCCTTCAAGCACTGAGGGGTTCCTGGTTTTTAGTGCTACAGCATTGACAAGTTTGGGATGTGTGCTGGTGCAAAATGGTAAAGTGATTGCTTATGCATCTCGTCAGTTGAAACCACGTGAGAGGAACTATCTGACACATGATCTTGAGTTAGATGCTGTTGTATTTGCATTGAGGATTTGAAGACATTACTTGTATGGAGTCAGATGCGAGATCTTTACTGATCATCAGAGTTTAAAGTACATTTTTACTCAGAAGGACCTGAATTTGCGGCGAAGAAGATAGTTAGAGCTGATCAAGGATTATGACTTATCTATTCAGTATCAGTCTGGTAAGGCGAATGTGGTAGCAGATGCTTCGAGTGGTAAGTATTTAGGTACTTCTCTTTCGTTGCTTACTTCTGTAGACTTTCTTATTCGAGATTTAGAAAAATTGGAGATAGAGGTGGTATCTGCTAATACAGATTCAAAATTATTAGCTCAAATGATTATTCAACCTACTTTACATGAAAGAATTCAAGAAGCTCAGAATCAGATACAGAGTATCTGAAGTTGAGTGATCAGATTAAGGCTGGTAAGAGACCTGAACTCTTTTTATCTAACTCTGGAATCATTTACTGCAAAGATAGATTATGGGTTCCTTCTGTTGGTGATATAAGAGCTGAGATCCTACATGAGGCACATTACTTGGGCTACACTATTCATCCAGGAAACAGTAAGATGTACGGAGATTTGAAAGGTATGTTTTGGTGGCCTGGATTGAAGAAAGATATAGCTAAGTTTATTTCAAAGTGTGAGGCTTATCAGTTAGCGAAAGCAGAGCATCAACGACCAGGAGGTCTTCTGCAGTCGTTAGTTATCTCTAAGTGGAAATGGGAGGATGTGACGATGAACTTTGATATGGGTTTTCCCAGATCGAGACAT